TCTCTCTCTCTCTCTCTCTCTCTCTCTCTCTTTCTCTCTCTCTCTCTAGTATCATCGTATCAAACTTAGAAAACGTCCATTCCTCTCCGACAAAGTGAAAACAAGCCGATTAAAAATACTCTACCTATACCGGAGGTACAATTAGATATTTTGCAACGACGAGAAGTGTCGGATCGATAAATACATGGCAGCTTCGAAACGCGCATTTGCGTCTACGCGCGCGCGCGCGCGTGTGTGTGTGTGTGTATAATATAAACGTGTGTGATAACGCGTGTACAAATCGAGTCTCCCCCTTTTTTCCCTTGTCTCAACCTTTTTTTTTCGTTTCACGCGCACGATGGACGACGCCTTGAATCCTCCTTCTTTTCATGGACGCATGCGAACAAACAGTCTTTTGCCAGGAACGTGAATGAATCCCGCAGGCCCTTGCGTTGATTATCGTTATCATTATCATTATTATTATTATTATTATTATTATTATTATTATTACTATTATTACTATTACTATTATTATTATTATTATTATTATTATTATTTCTCTCTCTCTTTTTTTCATTTCTTCTTCTTCAAGAAGGAGAAGAAAGGCGCTCATTTTGCACCGTGAAACGTGGCCAAACATCCTCCCCTCGCGTATTTTGAAATTTTTGTACTTGTCGGCAAAAAAAAAAAAAAGGAAACCTTGTGTTCGTCGATGTCGATGTCTAATTCGTAACTCTAAAGATGAACGGATGGTGGAACGGCCCGTCCGTTTCTTTTTTTTTTTTTTTTTTTTCTTCCAAGGATTCTTTTCAGTCTTAGCATTGTAGGGGGGGAGGGGGGCGTGAAGCGGCGGGCCTTATTCGTTTTTTTTTTTTTCAATCGAAAAAAGAGTCGATCGGGGGTGGTGTCTTGACCGATCGAAAACCGAAGGGCGTATATAATACGCATACGAGAAAACGCCTAATATTTTGTTAACAAACGTTGTTTTGTTGTTAAATCCTCGTGTACTCGGTGTAATTGTGTGCGTGTCGAACAAGAACGGAAAAATTAATAATCGAAAAAGTGAATCGAATCGTGAAGGCGGCGAACGTGACGAACTCTCTCGCTCGATTGTTCACAGAATCGGGATTTAACTCGGCGACGAAGATGAGACGAAGAGTAGACGAAGAGTACGCGAAGAGTGGATGAGCGGAAAAATTCGGATATATCGGGGTTTTTAATTTTTTGGGAAGGGGGAAGGGGAGGGGGAAGCGGTTACGATTGTTTTATGAAAGCACGACCGATGAATTCTCTGTGAACAAAGGATCGTCGAGTTCATCGCCGCGTCCATCATCGTTTCTATTTGAAATTCGTCGAAGAGAGTGATACTATACATCTCTCCTCACCGTTTTTCTCTTTCTTTCTCTTTCATACACACACACACTCTCTCCCTACCTCTCTCTCTCTCTCTCTCTCTCTCTCTCATAATACATCTCACATACATACATTCGCTATTTCTCCCTCTATCAGTCATTTCCTTTCGCTCTCTCGCTTTCTCTCCCGCTTTCTCTCAACGCCTAGAAAAACACCTCGTCATATAATATATATCACATACGCGTTACTTCTAAACACACTGAAATAAGAAGCACTTTAAGATAGATGTCTACGTGTACCATCGGGCCCAGATTCTCTAGATGGACTGATTCTCGTTTCTCCCTTTACAAATCACTGCAGCTCATAGAACTCTTTTATTAAACTCCTTCGTATATGTTATTTGTTTCTTCTCTCTCTTCCTCTCTTTTTTTTCTGTATATAACGTGAATTTATTTACATACAAGTCCTATATGCCTCTTTCCTTTCTTCCTTCCTTCCTTCCTTCCTTTCTTCCTTCCTTCCTCCTCTCTGGCTAATGTCTCTCGTGTCTCTGATTAAACACCTCCTCTTCTTTTAGACACATCTCACACACTCACTTTCTCTCTTTTCTCTCTTCCTCTCTCTCTCTCTCTCTTTCTCTCTTATCTCTCTGTATTACGTATATGTGCAGGTGGTGAAACGCGTGTTTTCGAAACGTACGAGAAAATTAGGAATCCGTGGGAATCTCTCGGCGGTAACTCCGTTTCGTCAAACTGCCTGACACTTAAAGAGAGTCTTGCTCGATTAACCAACACATCGTAAAGGCGACGTGACGATCTCCGCGATTTTACTCCGTGAAATCCGTCGATCGTGTGTATATGTGTGTGTGTGTGTGTGTGTGTTTATGGCACGATGCCGTGACTGCTACGAAGTATCAATGGAATATCTCATTTTCTCGTTCTCTCGAACCTTGGTCGAGAGCGTTAAGAGAAGAACAAGAATCGGTTCGCGACGACCGATTAATATAATCCCTTAATAAATTTTTTTTCGAGGCACGCGGTAGTATTACGCGAACAATAATGGCACTGTCAATCACTCGCGTTTAAATATTACAACATTAGAAAAATCGCAAGTCGAGTCCGACGATAGTCTCTTTTAATTGACTTCACGAGAAGTAACCTTTGTCGTAATACTACGCGCGGGTATCGTATAATAATAGTAATAATAATAGTAATAATAATAATAATAATAGTAATAATAATAATAATAATAATAATAATAATAATAATAATAATAAGAAACGATATAAAACGGCGGAGATCGCCACGATTCCATCGCGAACGATTCGACGCACGATCTCGCCGATCTCGCCTGACCACCGAGCGAAGCTCGATCAACGCGCCTTCATCTCACCTCCTTCCTCTTCTATAAGGAATAATATATATACACACTCTCTCTCTCTTTCTCTTTCTCTGCTATCTCTTCTCCTTCTTGAAAAATCTCTCTCGAACCTTTCTTTGTTACATGATCTTCCTCGACGAAGCGGCGCGAAGCGTGATGGTGGTGGCGGTGGTGGTGGTGATGCGGCGATGATCACTTACTCGGTAATCCTGGTGGACCGGATCGACGCGCGTATCGGTGATTCCGACGGTCTGAAAGGCAACCGAGGATCAACCGCGGGGAACGCAAGGAGCGCGGAACGAAAGGGAACGAAAAGAAAAAAAAAAAAAGTTTCAAAAATCACGCGCGCCCGTCACGCGATCGAGGATCCAACTCTCGCTCGATCGCACGGGAGGGGGGTGGTGGTGGTGGTGAACACGCTACTATACAGGATCGGAACGCGCGGCTGGGCTGTAGAACGGCGTCCCAGCGGCTGGCGTCGCGTAACAAGAAGCCGAGTACGACGGCGGCGGTGACGAGGCCGACGCCGACGTGGTCGACGACGACTATGATCGATATATGTAGCTGCAGGGCGGTGTCGGCGGCGGGGGCGAGCCACCGCCGCTCATGGCGATCGGTACGAGGGTCGGCGAGGGTGACGAGGAGGGAGGGGACGGGGAACTGGACGAAACGCTCGAGGGCGGCGAGGGCGACTCTAGCGCCCTTGGCCCCGCGAGCTCGCGATTCGACTGTCCCCCTGACGTCACAGCGCGACTACTCCTTGCCGCTGTGGTCGCGTTGTGCCGGTTGCGCGCTGGCCGCCCTAAGCTCCGGTGGCGGCCACCTCCCTCCTCGCTCGTTTCTCAGAGATAAACCTTCTTCACGCTGCGGGTGGTCGCGAACCCGTCGTTGCGCCGATACGCGTCGCCCTGGTGCGAGCGAAGGGTGCCGAAGTTGTCCCTCGCCCCGCGGAAACCGTACCCGTCCGGGAACTGGAACAGCGTTTCCGTCGGGGTCGGTGGTGGTTTGCGCATCGTGCCTTTCGGCGAGTGGAGCTTGGGCGGTTGCGGAACCAGAACAGGCTCAGCGTAGGTAACCTCCTCCTGGGGCAATAGCTTTGGCTCTGGCGCCAGCCTGCTGCAATATTCACGGGGATTAATATCATCGCCTCCCATCATCGGGTGGAGAGCGGCAGTTTACGTACGATCGACTCGTTTCGAACCCTACCTGTTCACATTTTGCCGCTGCTCGAAGTACTCGTACTCCGTGTCCGGATACGGCAGATTATCGTCCTCGTCCTTTCTACATTTCCTGCCGCACAGGTAACCGGCCACGAAGCCGACTAACAGAGCGGCCAACGCGCCAGCCACGACGGCCATCACCAGGGTCTCCACCGAGTATTGCGGAGGGGGGGAGTCCGCCGCCGATACTTCTGGACCTGCGTCAATCCAATTCGTTCTCCAATTGAAATTCGAAAGTGTGTAAAATAAAAATTGAGAATCGAACAAAAGCGTTTCGTTTCCCTTCGATCGTCTTAAAAAAGTTTTATCGAGATTGTGAACTTTTCTGCCATTGCATTTCTTCCTCGAATACACCAAATATACATATATACATACGATCTATATATCGTACAGGCAAAGATTTGGCTGGCATATACATCTACCTGAATTATCCTGCTCCTCGTCCTGCATGATGTTGATGATCTCCCCCCCTTGGCCTTCCTTGTTGGGGATCATCGAGTCGGGTGGGAATTTATTCTGGTTCGCAGAGATGGCGCCAACGCTGCCGGCATCCTTGTTCAGACTTTTGCTGGGCGGGCAGGAGGCGTGCAACCCGGTCGCCACGCTCTGGAGGAATCTGCTCGCGTCCGTGGCAGCCGGCCCGACCAAAGCTCTGCACTTGCCCTCCACCTTGTCCCACGCGCAATACGGGTCCTGAAGGGCCACGCACTCGCCGCACGACAAGATCCTATCGCTGTAGCAACGGTGCAGCCTCAACGCCTGCACCTGGCTATCGGCGATCACGACCAGTCGGCCGTCCTCGAGGCCGTCGCCTGCCTGCGACGCCCTCACCACCTTGATGCCTCGAACGGGCACCGTAGAGGGGAACGCCTGGATCTCCTCGATCACCACGGGGCTGACCTTAAGGTGGGTGTCCGCCGACTCGGCGTTCACCGCCTTGATCACCTTCCCGTTGTCCGTCCCGATGAACAACACGTCGTACGTCTTGCCGCCGGGAGTCTTCACCTGGGGATCGACGGCGATCTGCGTGAACCTGTAACTGTTACGATTCGATCAGAAACGTATGCTCGATTCGTATGTGAGAAGAAGAAGAAGAAGAAGAAGAAGAAGAAGAAGAAGAAGAAGAAAAGAGGGAAAAAAGAAACGAGGAAAATTTGAAACAAGTAATTCGAAGGTTTTCTATAAGCGAATTGATATTTTTTTTTAACGTAATTCCTGAATATCGGAAAGATTCTAATTATACTTGGATTTTATGTAAATAAATAAAATGTTTGTTCACCTCGTTTGATTAAAAATGGAAAAAGCATCGAATATAAATATATATTCTATTTTTCAATTTTTATTCTTTATATATTGAAAATAGAACGAGTATCTCTTCATATTTCAACTGTTTGTGTATTGAAGTTATTATTATTCGAAATACCGTTCACTTATATCTCAATGAAATATTCATTTTAAGATAATATTTGTATATATCTTAACGTTGTATCTAAAATGTACGTTTGAAATTTCTCCTTCGAAATATATATATATATATATACTATTCTAAAATACGTATGAAATAAAAGAATTTACTACTACAATCCTATCTCCTATTTCCACCTATATTATAATATTTTATCCTCGAATCACACGTTACTGAAACTTACTGGAAACTGGTGCGAATGACGATGGGTTGGCCGAAGAAGCTCGGGACCAGCTCGTCCATTAGGGAGTGCGTGTGGATGAAGTTGAGGGTGAGATCGGGCAGAGATCGGGAATCGTTGACGCACTGGCCGGGCCTTGGATCGGGCACCTTGGTGCTCTGCACCGGCAACCAATTCGAGTTGATCGCGCTCTGCTCCTTGAAATTGCCCTTGAACGTGTCGGTGATGTCCTGCAAGGAGAAGGCGCACACGGCCGAGCCGCTTATGCTGTTCACCGGGGTGGTGAACGTCCCGTATATCAACTGCGCCGACTTATTGCCGTACTGGCCCGATATCAATTCCGTCGTCGATTCTGAAAATAACGCGCTCCGTCATTTCCGAGCCTCTTTGTTCGCGCGACCTCGCCCGTATCCGACGAGGACGTTTACGAGCGTGCCGGCGAGCACTTTGGAAAATTTATCCCTCCCAAATCATTTAAAATCAATGACGCTGCGATTTCCGTGATCGAAAAAATTAAATCTCGCATTAAACATTCTTTGGGAATGGAAATTAGAAGCCGTTGAACGATGATAAACTCTCGTGATACGTGGCGATCAATTTATGCTCGATCAATTTGTTAGATATCAAAGAGAAAACATTGAATCGGATTTTTTTTTAGAATTCGACTCGATTCGACACTGTGTGAAGATCGATCAAATTATATAGATACAGAGAGGATTTTACTTACGTATCTCGTTGAAGTAGAAAGGAAAGTCTCCGGTAACGGAGCAATTAAGACGGGATTTTAGGAACGAGGTCCACCTATTGCGGTATCGATGCGGACCACCTCGATCGTATTTACAGACTCTCGCTACGCGAGAATAGACGGTCTGCAATGGGAAAAAAAAGAAAAAGCTGGGATGAGCAGAGTATCCTCCTTGTCCCGCGATCGAACCACCCGATAAAATCGCGATTTCCCCCTCCCCCGATATTACTATTGTCGGTCAATCCTTTCGTTCGAAATTATACGGCGAGAGAAGCTCGACGTATAAAGCTATTATTGCAAGGAAAAAATTCGAAAATTATCCCCGCGATTAAAAAAGAAAAAGAAAAAAAAAAAAATGGTGAAAATTTCTATCGATTATTATACCGTCGTCGAAGATCGATCGAAGCGAATAAATCGTTGAAATTATCTATCGCTTACCTTGCCGCAATTGATGTACTCCACGGCGGTCTCCCGGAAGAAGAAGTAGACGAAGTCTCCCTGGGCCATGGAGTTGACAAAGTTTGGCGCTGGAATTAGAATACGTGCCTCGTATTATGACACGTGTTACACGTGGATTACATGTGGGACATGGGTGGTGAGTGGCGGTCGTAAAGTTTCTCCCTCTCCCTCCCCTTATGAATAAACGAACGTGACAATCGGCACGAGATGGAGGCCGAGCCTCGATTAAATATACAATCAGGCCGCGCTCTATCTCGTGCCCGCAGTGAGTAAAAAATGTTGGCAAGCCAGGCTCGAAAAATCGAAGGGCGAAAGCGAAGGAGGGTCGGATAATCCGGCGTTGTTTCAGGGTGGCGGTATTGGATCCTCGTTAAAAAATCATTACCTCGAGATGGGGTAAGGTAGATCGCCAGATTTTCAACGATCGGAGGGTAAAAATCAATTTCCAAGCATCCAAGGATGGGATGCTTCTGGAAGGATGGGACATCTTGGGCGATGTAACAATGGGGAGAGGGAGGGTAAGCCGACCACGAATACGCAAGGAACGTTTTATTTTATATCGGCCTCTTTCTCCTCTTGCCTCTTCTTCCGCTCTCAATTTTCATCTCTCTCTCTCTCTCTCTCTCTGCTCCTTCTCCATCGATATACCTTTCCTTTTCCCTTCTTCCACTCTCTCCTCAGGGATCAGTCGTATACACGAGCGTCCGATAAAGTGAGAAAACTTTATCGATTTATTAACTTGACAGGGTTTTCATAAGCTTCTTAGGATTCATAAAGTAATATTAATCTCGCGCGCCACGTAAGTATATATATTCGACCGATCCTGCCATGCTCCGGCCAATAAATTTTCTTTCATTCTCTCCGTGCCTCCTTCTCTCCTCCTCTTCGCCGTCCCTTTTACACCGCCCCGCTGATTCATCTTAACTCCCCCTCTCTTCCTCTCCTCCGCGTCAACCCTCGCCACCGACCAACTGTCTTTCCCATCGCGTCGTACAATCGGGAGACAAAATGGGGAAGGGAGAGATATTCATCCTTATCGCCTTCCCTCCTAGTTCTCCACGATTAGGAAAAAACGATCTAGATATTTCTGGAACGATTGATCGTTCGATCGAAAATCGGGGGATATAGACGCGATGGTGCTCGACGAAATGATGGAAAGCTTTCGACGATCGTTCGGAAATAGTAACGATGTACAATTATTTCGGCGGTGAAAAATAAAAATTTAGAGCACAATGCTCCACATAAATATATATATATATATATATTTTTTCCCTCGTGCCAAACTTTTCGCTTTTACATTCGGCGACGAAAATTCCGAGCGATGAGCGAGACGCGAGAGCAGTGAACGCGACCGAAATGAACGAACAGAGAGAGAGAGAGAGAGAGGGGAGGATGGAAAAAAAGAAAGAGAGAGAGAGTTGAATTTTCAACGAACCGAAAGAAAAATCAATATTATCCAGCGGACGGAGAAACTTGATTAGCGTTCGTACACCGTTCAATTAAAATGCTCGAGCGGACAAGTGAAACCGTGGAAATAAGGTGACGCATTTCCTCCACTTCCTCCTCCCCCACTTCTTCACTTCTCCCTTTCCCCAAAGTTTTCAAGGATCGAAGGTCTCGTAAAAAAAAATTTCCTCAAGCACGCGCGCCTCATCGCTATAACTCTCCTCTCCTCTTGGCTGACCCGATTCCGGATAAATAAATATTCCGACAAATTCGCAGGGGAATTCTCGTAGCTTCTCTCTCTAAGATGTAAAGGGAGGCGTTTACAATTTACGGGTGTATCGGCTGATAATTAACCAGTTAATAACGGCTGAGATCGACCGAGGAAAGAGGAAGGAGAGGAAGGGAGTGGTCGTTGAATCGTTGGCGGACGACGACCAAGGGCCGGCAGACAGGTCTTTCTTTCCAGGATTAAAATTTCTCATCTGTGTGCGTACATTTCGTTGCACCGTTCGTTCCGTTGTCGAGTAGACTTCGGGAAGAGACTTTTGTCATTATAGAGATAGAGGAAGTACCGTGGAATAATATCGTCGGAATAATAAGTCGTAAAGGCGAAATCCGGTGCACGCGCTGTTAATCTCGGAATAAGACTTTGCGGATTGAAAAGCATGGTCGGGCGGCATTTCTGAACGAGTTATTTTACAGGCCCAAAACTGTAAGACGAATCGAAGCGCAGGTTCTAATTTTTTCGAATCGAGATCGAATATCTCGAGCCAATCATCGATGACGCTTTTACCGATTATCGATCAATGAGTGTAGAAAAGTAACAAGATTCCTTTTTATTGATTTTTCCGAAAGTGGTGTCTATATAATATTTGTAAATTATTATTATTGGAAATTTTTTGTACACGATTTACATAAGGATTGAAGTAATATTGTTTTGTTGGCAATGCATCTGTCCATTGAATTTGAACTTTCGATCAAAAATGATCGATTAGAGAAATAACGTGGTAATGGTATTCATATTTGGCTTGATTTCTCTACGAATATTATTTATTTTTTTTATATCCAAAATTAAAAATATCAATAACCAGAAATCTTACATTGCATCGATTTGTCAGTTGATTTTTAAAAAGTTATTAATTCGAATCTTTTTTTTCAGGTTTTTGAATTTACATATTATCCCGTCCCGTTACTTTTTATATTATGCATACGATGCACCGTTTGCATAAGTAGCGCGTAACCAATGCAGGCTGAATTCTCTCTATGGTTCCCAGTTTTGGATTATCCGGTAAGCGTGCTCGAAACGATAAACGCTTGGCTATCGAGCTTCCGTTCGAGCGAGCAACACTTCCACTCTCTCTCCCCCCGTTCAAGGCATAACTTTTTCGTCCCTTCCCCGTGGAAAAGCGCTTCCACAGCTTCAGCAACGTTTCAGTACACGTAGTAATAAATTCTTTCCCGGCCACCGACCTTTTTCCATCATCGAAAACGCTCCAGCTGCACACTCATCGCGCCCTTATTCCTCATAATCTTTATTCTTTAATCGCGAGTTAACGTCGTCCGCCATTTCCTGTTTCACGAAACACCTCCTATTATTATTTTTCCTTTCTATTTTTTTTTTCTTTTAATTTCTCAAACGTTTCATTCATTCCATTATTTTCGATTGCTTTCGAATCATCTTAATCGATTATTAACCCTTTGCTCTCCTCCGGCATCACTGGGATTGTTGCAATAATTAAACGGCGACAATATTTATTTATGTTTGATTTTTTAAAATATCTTTATAAATAGCTTCCTAAACTCTTTACGTATAATCTTATAAGGTGTAATCTTATAAATAATTATTTTATAATAATTTTATGAGGCCACCGAACGCACCAAACGCGTTCTGGAGTTGCTGGTTCGACCGAGCGAACCTTTTGCTCTCCTCCGGCATCACTGGGATTGTTGCAATAATTAAACGGCGACAATATTTATTTATGTTTGATTTTTTAAAATATCTTTATAAATAGCTTCCTAAACTCTTTACGTATAATCTTATAAGGTGTAATCTTATAAATAATTATCTTATAGTAATCTTATGAGGCCACCGAACGCGTTCTGTAGTTGCTGGTTCGACCGAGCGAAACAGGCTTGGAGTTTAAAGATAATTAAATCGGAAAAAATATAATTGCACTCACCGTTTAGGCTCTTGGAGTCGTACTGCTCGGTCTGGAGCGGCTCCCTGTAGATGATCGGGTCCATCCCCGCGAAATCGGCCACAGTGCCCGTGTAAAGCTCCCCGTCCACGTAAACGAAGGTGCTGTTGTGCCTCGGATCGTAGGGGCACATCGCCTGGCCACCCTTCTCCTTCAGTATCGTGTAATTGCCGGCGTGCACCCCGTAGTCACGGCACATCGGCTTGAACGCGTTAGTCGCGCACACAAGCAACGTGTTCGCGTCCGTCTTGACGAGGATGCGAATATAGTTCTGGCAATTCTCCTCCGGCGTGCCCTTCACCAGGCACATCTTCACGTCACTGTCGGTCGAGTACCAAGTCAACCTCTGCTGCTCGGTCAAATCGGTCAGGCTCAGATTGTGCACGAGATTTCTGCGAATGGAGAAAAGGGGGGGTTTTGTCAAAGGGGATGATTGAAAATATATTTTTCAAAATATAGAAAGTTCATCGTTTTCACTCGCATTTATATGTGAATTTTTTGCTTTCGAGTTATCGAGTTTGAAATAAGGCCGATTTTTCAATTTGAAATTTCGCTCGAATCGTGAGAGATCAGAGATTCGAAAAGATTGTATATTGCGTTTAATGAAATTGTCGAATTTGCATATGACAAAGTGTAATACTTTTAATATTGTTGTTCGAACAATGGAAAAAATAAATAAATAAATAAATAAAAATAAAAAATAAAGGGGGATTAACTTTTTTAATATTTTCAAAATGCTTGGACTACGTATAAAACGGTACGTATGGAACACCATATGATTGTTTTACCATTTTCCAGATATTTCCGCCAGTTTTTTTATGAAACAAATGCTTCGATCAAAAATGTTGTTTGATCAATTGGTACAATTGACAATGGGGAATGTTAACGCGAAAAAAAACTTTTTATTCGATAAAAGATCAAGGTCAGTCCAATTATTTTTAATAGAATTATATTATATATTATTTTATGCATGGAATTGTATGGAATTATATATTATTTTATTACAGAAATTGTATATTATATTATGCACGGTTATAAATTTCGTTTCGAATACCCATATGTATGAAACACTGTGCGCTGGGCACGATTCTGGGTCACACAGTTGTTCAATATGGAAAAGGGCGGAATTTTATTGAATCGTGCCGTATTGTTATGGTATGCGAAGGCCGATTTTCAAATTTTTAAAAATTAAAAAAAAATTAAATATTCTATTTAAAAAAAGAAATTGATTTTTTTATGTGAATATAAAAATTCAAAGAATTAAAAATCAAATAACGATACGACATAACAATGACAATCCTGTCAGTTACACGTATACCAAATAAAAGAATGATTGAAAATTGACAGAATTATCGTTTCGACAGACTTTGATAAGCGTATTTGAAAAAAAGAAAAATACATTCAAATTTAACTCTTAACAATCACTATAAATCTATTAATTTTCACAATTTCCTAATAAAAAATCTCACTCAAATACCCGTCATTTAAATAAATAAATTAATGCTACTTGACAGGTACACTCGTCACGTGAAAAAATAGAATTTTTTTTGATAAAAAAAATTGAAATTTTTGCAAAAATAAATATCTTTCAAAAAGAATAAAAAAAAAAAATCAAATGAGTTATATAAATTTTTGCATTTTAATAAAAATATTGTTATATTTCATGCAAATGAATTAACAATTATACAAAATTTGAAATCATTGTCAAAGCAAAAATCTTCCATCTAATTATTATTTAATTATTTCAATTCCATATCTGAATTATCTCTGAATTATCGATCTTTGTGATATCATACAATGCTGTGTCAGCAATTAAACAGTACAAAATATATATATCTATATATATCTATATACACATCGATAAAATTTCTTGTATCAACAAATCCTTATATAATAAATTTTTTTAAATAACCTAACTCCAATATTTGCTATTTCTTTATTACTCTATTTCTTCTAAATTTCTCATGCCTGGATTTTACTTACTCAAACCACACAAACATTCAAAATAATATTTCCCTATTAATCCTCGCTCCTCCTATCCTCGCTCACTGCAAATAACGTTCATCATCTACTAACTCGGATATGAGAATCGAAAAGTGAGCCCGTGAATTAAACGAAAAAAACTTATTTTTCCAGCCTAACGAAACTAATCACCCCCCCTCTCGTCTTACTTTCGACCCTCCTTTCTCCTCGTCTCCTGTTTCTTTTTAAAAGACAAGTGGCGATGACAGACGCGAGATACAGCATCGCGACGCGATGCAAACGATTTCACGGGAGAATTTACGGGCGAGAGGTAAGCGCGCCCGAGATCCGACGAATTTTCAAATTTCTCCTCCTCCTCCTCCTCCTCCTCGTATTCCGTTAAATAAGCGACTCTTCCAAATCTTGAGCGCGTATCCCGGAAATCTCTCCATTTCTCTCGCGCGATCCATATTCTTTTCTCTCTCTCTCTCTCTCTCCCTCTTTTTTCTTTTCTCTACACGAGCACAGAATCCCGTGCATTAATCACCGTTTCGCGTCGTTTTACCCCGGTTCGCTTATCGGTGGCGGGAGATCGGTACGATTTCCCCAGGAAACATCGCAACCATCGCGTTCGAATCGAGGCGCAAAAAAAGAGAGAGAGAGAGAGGGAGAGAGAGAGAGAGAGAAAAAATCGATGGAAAAGCCACGGGAACCTCTACAGGGGATTCGACGAAGCCACGATCCGTTTATTACAAGCGGGCCAAGATTTATGGAGGCCGCTTCGAGATTAATATTCCGAGAGAGGTCTCCGGCTGCAAATTTTACCCCGTTGTCTCGCGACATCTCGCATTTGCGCGCGATTTAACCCAACTCCCTCCCCCTCTCTTCCCTCCTCCTCCCCTTTCATCTTTGAGCCGACGATTTTCGAGGCGGAGAAACAATTGGGAGGGGAGGGGAGGGGGGGAAAAAAGAATCGAAAACGAGAAGATTGTATACTCCTTCGAGGTGTGCGTGCCAATATAATCGCGTGCCAATTAATCGACGTAATTCCCTTCCCGACAAACAACAAACTTGATCGATCAACGAACTATGAACGGAGATTCAAACGGAGATCTGGTTAACGCGAAGATTAATTGATTTTGCTCTTTCTTATAGGATACGGGAATCGTTCGAAGATCCGTTCTCTCCAGTTTCAGGATAATCGATCGAGGATTTATCCCGGAGAAACGAGAAGATGTAAAGGTAACGTGTTCAAGAGAAGTCGAGTTAGATCCTTGGCCGACCTAAATAAAGGGAAAATGAAGAGAGAGAGAGAGAGATATCCGTGCTCCAGATTTTGTATATCGCGTTTTAATTACGTATTACGTAGCCTTCAGAGAGAGAGAGAGAGAGAGAGAAAGTTTTTTTAAAGAACCGGCAGGAAGTCGCGCTTCCGCCGGTGTTTGGGATTCGAAGGCTCGTAAAATAAAAAAAAAAAAAAAAAAAATAATAAAAATAAAAAAGCGTACAAAGAAGTTTCTAAATAAAGTTCGACGATCTCATTAACGCCGGTGGTGGAATTCATCTTGGGGGAGAGAGGGAAGGAAACGAGGGAGAAACGAGATTTTCAGGGAGGAAGTAGTCGGCACACGTAGAGAGGGATCGAGAGAGGGAGGAAGGGAGGAAGGGAGGCCCCCCTCGATCGCGGACACGGGCCCTCGAAACCCGGTTGCAAAGAAACCAAGGATAAGAAGAAACGGTCCTTTAATTAAAGCACTCGGTCCAAATGAATCCTCTATTTACCTTCCGCCGACCAGAAGATAGTTCCCGTCCCGGAGTACCAGCCGAAAGTAGTCTGTGTGCGTCTCGTTCCCCGTAAACCTGAACACATCCTCCGCACCTGGAAAAGAAAAGCAGAGGAACGTCGGTTGGTTTTCCTTCTATAGTTTCAAAGAAGGAATTATCTTATCCGTCTAATTAGCACGACGTTTGGAAAAGGGGGATGGAGGGTCGTGTCTTCGTTTCACGGTGAACGAGCATCGATGAGCTCGGGTCATCGCGTTGGTACGAGGATCATCAAGTGGGTTGCTCCAATTCGCGAATATTGGAATAACGCGCGATTATATCAAATGCAAATTTTCTTTAAATATTACAATGCACACTATTTTGAATATTTTGAATATTTTGCGCCTTGTCAAGTGTATTTAATATTCGTAATCTAATTAATAATAATCAGTTGCATTCGTGTGCAATGGAAAAAGGAATTCTTTCGTTGTTTGAAAAACAAAAACCGTCTTATCTCTTATCTTTTTCTTTTTTTTAATTAATTCTCCATATTTAAGTATAATATATACATATTATAAACCGCTTAAATTAATAATACCCTGTTAAGAGTCTTAAACTTTGCCAGCATTGACGTTATAATGTCGACAGGTAAATATCGATGAATCGTATAGATACATAATTTAACATACGTACCTAGATACCACCGTTTTAAGACCGTAATTATAATTTCTAATAGTAGCCCGATTTCCAGGATAGGGTAATACCGCTTCCAATCAATATTCTTCAGCAAAATTTAAACAATACAATTATGAATTTACCTCGAACTATCGCGCCCGAATAATAATAATAACAATAATAATAACAACAATAGCGCGATCTGCATCAAAGTCGACACAATAGACGTATCAATATATTTATCGTTCATCGTTGCTCGAATATAATAATTCCAGCAATTCGAAGGCGCGACGCAACCAGCAATCGAGATTCATCGTCGAAAAGATTTACATCCGCAAGCTTCGATTTTTATAATCCCATTTACCGTCGTTCCCCACCGACGGTAGGCGAGCCGCAAATCGGCTTAACAAGCGTAATAAGTTTCCTTTTGACCGCGATTCCAAAGAACAAAGCGGCGATCGATCGTTAATGGATCTATCCCGGCCGGATCGACCATTTTTTTCACCTGGCAGGAAGCCACTTCATTATCCGCTAATTACCTATCTATTAGTTTCAACGGGCCCTCCCCATCCATCCGTCCACCCACCCGGGTGGGATCGATCGATTCCTCTCCCTCCTCCTTCCTTCTCCACGAACGGAGAAACGACGAGAGTTCGTTCCATCGGACAAATTTCTCGGAAATTTCCCTCGAAATTCGCGGGCCTCGTTATCGTGTATCGTGAAAGGTCTTAATCACCGAGCCTCGCGAGCGCCCCAACCCCCCCCCCCTCCCCTCCAAACGTAACGATTACCCCTTTCTCCCCCCGCCACTCGTTTCCTCGCAACAGAAACGACGGCGTTAAAGTTATAAACGGCAAAACCAGCGTTGGATGGCGTTAAATTAAGTTAACTCACCTCGATGAAGGGAGGTTATAATTATTGACGCGTGTTCCTATGGATCTAGGTCTCTAGGAGATGAGCAACAGGATGTCCACCGTGGAGTTATATTGTGGAGGAACGCGTTCGCCCTTTATAATTATAACGTGATTCCGATAATTTCAAAGGGAGAGTTATCCACCTCCATTTTTCGCCGCTCTTCCTTCGAGGGAAAACGAGATATTTCGTTTTCCAATGGTAACCTCTCTCTCGAAGTTTCGTCGTGGTCCAGAGAGTGGTGGTTTTATTTTTATTTTATATATCCGAGACTCATTTCGCCACCTTTCCACGCAGAAATGATGAGACGAGCGTTGAATAGAATCGAGTGACGGGCGCAACGTGGCTCGAAATTAACGTTGCCGCGATTATACCCTCGTTCCACCGCCGGTCAGGTAACGTCTGAAGTGCAATTAACGCGGCCCCCTCCGACACCAGTCAATATCGATGATTCGAGCGGCGTGTCTCGCGTATGCAATTTGGGTCGCTGATAGCCGCGGAATACCGGGTAAATGGGAACGGACCATTATCGGAGGATCATACGTCTTGCACCGGAAACGAATTAACGTCACGTTGGACCGCGTTACATTCGTCCTCGTCCGACGGGAAACCCCGGGAGGATCGAACAGGTCGGACAGAGGCAGAGACTGGGGTCGGAGGAGAAGGGGGGATTTTCCGGATAGAAAATCGGAACGGGGATCGCCCCGGGTCATAGCCGAACATAGCCGAGCTGTCCCGCTTATTAAACGTTTTCCGCGTCGGAAACGTTGCAACGGTTATATATTTACGGCGTCTGCTTTCGACCGGTTTTTATCGCGAACGTGACCCGATTGATCGAGCCCGATGATTATCGTCCGATATTTGCCGATCGGTTTCGATTTTCGGCCGCCACATTTTCTGCTCTGCTTTTTCTCGTCAACCGTGAAATCGGACCCGATGAAATTATATATTTATAAGTTGTGTCTCAGAACGATTGGAGGGTAATCGTAAATCTATATATACGGAAATAGAAATTGATTAATTAGAGTGAATTATATTATATCGATACGAAATTTAATAATTTTCGCGTACCATCTTTCAGGTCCGCATTCGTGGATACGGAGGGACACGGAGGCTCGTTAGACGGACGGGAAAGATGGACAAGGGACAACGGGGGGGGAGGAGGGAGGAGAGGAGAACGCGCGGTCTCTTTCGCTGATTGGGTTCGAAATTAAACGGGGGCAGCTCCCCATCGGCTTTAGATTCGCCGCTCGGGTTATCGCTTTCCAAAATTAGCCGCTCGATTGCAATCTCGCGCGCCGACCATCGCGAAAACGCAAAGATTCCCCGTGTTTCCATCGGTTCGCTCTAATTTTCGTGCTCGAAATTAGAGGTCGAATGAAACCGGAGTTGCAGAGCGCGCGCGCGCGCGCGTGTGTGTGTATGCATGCAACTCCTTGTATTAATCACGCAAAATTCCCTTACGCTCGTCTCGTATCCCCTGACAGGAATATTACTCCGTCACTCGCACCGACAAGTTCCGCGTATCGCGATGTCCCTCTCCTCGACAGGACTGAGAGACGGTAGTAGTAGTTTGCGGTGGTGGAACGTCGACTCTCGTCTGACAGGGGAGCCGACAATACCCATCCGATGAAAGCCGATGCAAAACGCAACCCACCGAGGTCATATCGGCTTTCGCCGAGGTGGAGCGTTTTCACCCTCGGTACGCACCGAGCTCGCGACCCCGGTTTAACGATTTAACCATTCGAGGCGGTCGCCAAAAATCAAAAAAAAAAAAAAAAAAAAAAAAATCCCGACGGAGTCCCTGGCGGCGGGTATTTTTTCTTTTTTTTTTTTTTTTGCAAAAAAGAAAAGGGGAAACAAAGAACAAAGTTGTAAAATGGCGAGAAATACTACGAGAGATTCGGACGAGATCGATATTTACCGATGCCAATTTTCGAAAAAGTGGAAAAATTTTTTTGAAAGGAGGAAAACTCGTTATGCCGCAATGCCGATTCGATATCGTACAAGAGATGAGAGATATCCAAGGTTATACACGCTTGATTGTCTTCTTTTTTTTTTTTTTTTTGCGCGCTTCGATAATTGCAAAAAGAGCAATTATACTGTTCTCTCTCTCTCTCTCTCTCTCTCTCTCTCTCTCTCTCTCTCTTACAGAAGCTCGAACGGAACAAGAAACAAATTAGTTTTAATTTCCAACGAGTGCAACATCGAGAAATACGAGACGATGTTGAATGAACGTTGTTGCTCGATTGAATGAACGTTATTGATACGACTACGTATTTATAGAACGTGCCAATAGGCCTCTTTCACGCGGCAATAATATAAGTATCGTTATACGATGTACACAATATACGCCATCCGAATTGATTTCGTATAATACAATCGGTATTTCATTACAGAAATATAGTTGCGTTATCGTGTGGGAAGGGGCACGTAAAGTTCAAAGTATGAGAAATTACAAGAATATAATAAATTAAGGACAATTATATAAAACATCGAAAAAAATGTAATTTTTATGTAATAATTCGATAATAGCACGACGCGTACGCGTTCATCCGTTTAATCGTTGATATTCGATTCGAGCGACTTTTCCAGCCGTTTAATTCTAAACAGCGGCACAAAGCGATTAAACTCGTTTCGCGAGTCGCCGCGTCCATGTTCCCTTCCTGTCCCGTCTTCCACTCTCATTTTGGTACTTCAATTTCTGCACGTTAATTGCGTGACGGGTAACTCGCCGCAAGTCCGTTCCTATGTGTCCCCTAGATCGTAACTACGATGGACTTGGGCGAAAATTCAACTTGTATTCTCTAGGGAACAGGGAAATTGTCACAGACTTCAACTTCCCATACGGTGGCTGTTAAACGGATGAATCATTAGGTCGACGATCATTAATTAAACCTTTACAGCGTTTATACCTAGTCACACTGCATTCTTCGTCGTTATTATATCACTCTGATACGTGCTATTAATATATATATATATACACAAATTTTCCTCATTACATTTCGTCTCCGATCATCGCGTCGCGATATTCGTGAATATTCGCGAGCCGAAACGGAATTTTAATTGGTCGAATTATATAAAATACGTCTTAGCTGGTCAAGGAAATAAATTAGAAATTTAAAATTGAATCCAAACTTTCCGAGTGGCAAACTGGATGTATCGAAAAGAAAGTAAATAAATAAATAAAAATTGCCTCGTATCGATCCTACTCGAACTTCGTAGTAGGAGACGTGGACGGTCGCGTGCACGGGATGGTATCGTTGCAAATTTCAAATTAAATATCCGTCTCGGCGTGGAAACTGGATTCGTAGAGTTTGTGGGAACCCGGTGGTCAATATTTCACGGTATCACGTGAGCGTGGTTGTACAACAGGTACAGGTGGAGCGTGGGATTGTTCGTGGAAACCGGTAAAAAATTGACCGAAGTGAATTTATCTGGTCCGGTGCTGGGGGTGGAGGCGAGGCCACAAATCACGTATATAAGTTTCTCGAGGTGGCGGCATGGCCGGGACCCGGCATGGCGTGC